TTTTTCAACGTAATCTTTATTTATGGACTAAAACTATCTAAAAATAAAATAGCATATATCTTTTTTTTAAACATAAAGAAACCTTTGATTTCGGACATACTCCCTTCTATATAGCTTGTTTGTTGCTGTGGAGATGGTGAAGGAGTAGAAGTTAGTTGTTGATGAGAGGATGAAGGCACGTAAGAGATATGAGTGCAGTCTTGTGTTGATAGCGTGGGAATAGGAGTTAGTTGTTGAGGAGAGGATGAAGGCACGTAAGAAATCTGAGTGCGGTCTTGTGTTGATAGCGTGGGAATAGGAGTTAGTTGTTGAGGAGAGGATGAAGGCACGTAAGAGATCTGAGTGCGGTCTTTTGTTGATAGCGTGGGAATAGGAGTTAGTTGTTGATGAGAGGATGAAGGCACGTAAGAGATATGAGTGCAGTCTTGTGTTGATAGCGTGGGAATAGAAGTTAGTTGTTGAGGAGAGGCTTCACCCTCTCCTTACTTACTTCATACTCCCTACTTTACGAACAGCAATAAAACAATTAGTTTAGTAGGCATTCTTGGCCATGTCACTTCGCAGGGTCACAGGCTAGGGTGGATATACTTTGAATTTCGATAGATTTTAATTAATTAATTAATTTTATTTAATTTTTTTTGTATAATATCAGTGCCATAGGCTTCTACTCCGTTCACATGTTACACCCCATTTTTTCCAGACGGTAAAAAAGCTCATTCAGTATCACTGTTTCGTTAACGTCCTTCCGTTGCCAAACTGCCGACTGCCAAAAGCAATCGGGCCGATGCGCCTACACACACGCAGTACGGAGGGGGCGGGGTCCCGATCTAGGAAGCATCGGCATACGTGGTAGAGCCCTCATGACTGCAATTATATTAGTAGATATAGTTGTAGCACGAATGGGGCATCGGCTCGACCGGGGAAGGACCACGCTCTCACAGAATACCAGCGTGAGAATAGTAGCTTAATGCTGCTGTATGTTCGTATGGTGAGTGTAGACCCGAACCGGAGACCCTGTTTTACTGGAAATGAGGCATTCCATCTCAGTCCTCACGGGTGACAACGCATACTGCATTTTGATTTGTAATGGAAGATAGATGTAGATGTCTATGGGCCGCAGCAACCACTTACCATCAGGTGGACTGTGTGCTCGTTTGTCACCCTATCCTATATAAAAAAAACGTGCCTTCATCCTCTTATCAACAACTAACTTCTACTCCTTCACCATCTCCACATCAACAAACACGTTATATAAAAGGGAGTATGTCCGAAATTAAAGGTTTCTTTATGTTTAAAAAAAGATATAAGCTATTTTATTTTCTGATAGTTTTACTCCATAAATAAAGATTGATTACATTAAAAAAAAGTATACATATTATTATACAAAAGTATTTTATTTCCTTGTTTGTTGTGTGTAATACATAACCAGATTTTGACCAAAGCAGAGATGAACAAAGAGAAGAAATAACTAAATAGCATAGGTAGGAGAAATTGACGTTTTTATATAAGTGGCGAAATCATTTCTAGAAGGTTATAAAAACTATCTTCATCCATCCGGAGAAAATTAATCACGTCCTTGGATTACAGGCCATTTAGTACGTTTATGTGGCTTAATTTTTATCTCTTTTGGAGCCATTTTTTCACCCAGCAACTTCTCTTTTTCTATTTTCGAATAAATTAACCGAGATGGCTAATGCCAAACCAACACGGTGGTGTTTTAAGAGAGTCGGAGGTATTTTGAAGAACTCTACCGCATATGCATTCCGCTCCAAGTCCGAACGCGTACTGCTAGGCAGGCCCGTGTGTAAGGTCTACCCCGATAAAACCCCGATTTCTTTCCACCCTAGATCGCCACCGTGTCGTATGTAGCCCGCTTAAGCGGTTTGTGACACCTTTGTTTTAATTTCTAAGTATGTTCATGGGAACGTTTTTTCGATTACGTTGTATAATGGTACCTAGTTTTAACCATGTATTAAATTTATATCGTAAATGAAATGAATTTAACTTTCCCAATGGTTTGTACCTCTAAATATAGATTGTTACATTCAATTTTAAATTCATTTCGTAAAAGTATTTTTTTACATAGGTACATTAACAAAAAATCATTAATTAAGTTATTTATAATTTCGAAAACTCATTTTTTCATGACATGAAATTTATATAAAAAAGAAAACACTACTAGGTACACAGCTTAAGTTTGTTTTACGAAATATTTATTAACATTGAAAAAGGCAATTTTATTTCAAACAGATATAATTTTTGGCTCCGTGGTCATTTCTAAAGAAAAAACGTAAAAAGAATACTATTACATTAATAAATTTATAATAATAGTAGGTATATTGATATACTCTGGACTTTATTTTATAAGAAAAATATAAACCAAATATAGTTTAAAATGTACAAATTTTAAATAAAAACATATGACAAAAAATTCTACAAAATTTGTATGAATCAATGTGCCTAAAATATGAAAAAAAAAAAAATATCTCGTAAATTCATATACAATTGTGGTTAAACAATTACGCACACAATACATTTTCGCGTAGTTGTTTAAATCGATCCCTATAGTTATTTCATGTGTAACTCGTTAGTCGCATTTTGGGTAGCATTAATAGTCCTAATACAGATATGCAAAATAACTACCTATCTCACCTTTAGATTATCATACATTTATCACACCTTTTGATTTGCTCGGAAATCCCCTTATAATCCTGTATTTTTGTCGATTAATAGGCCCTTTTTCCATAATTCTTGTACGTACTTTCTTTTATTTCTTCCTAATATTTTTGACCTTTAGCTAGCTCTCTTTCTCTCTATTCACTTATATGTTTATTTATTTATTAGATACCGGGAATCGCAGTATTAATTCATTTCATTTATATTTTATTTCGTGCTTTTTATCACGCGGGTACTTTATAAATATGGGCCCCCATTTATTTGGGTATTATATTACATTTTCGTAACATTCATTTCATTTTATTGGTACATAAACTTTTTTTTTCTATATCAAGGTAAAATTTACCTTGGGTTGTGCGCACAACCTTGAGATCTATGTTTTTTAAGTCACTTTAAAAGGACTCCAACAATTGTCACAGAGGAAAACTAAGTTCGCACCATGATCCAACGAAGGATGTGACCTCAATGTACCTTTAATAAGGGTCACAAATTTAAGACCTCTGGTCCCTAACAGTACTAATATGAGTAAACTCAGTTACATCACTTGTACTGAAGGCGTTGTTCCCTAGTACCCGTTACTCCGATTTCATCGTCCAATCACGGAAACATACCCTGCTCGAGGACTATATGCTATACCAGTGATGAACGTTCCCGTATCTCTCCATCATTTATTTCTCATGGTCATCTTTTTTTATTATCTTCTTAAATCTTTGTCTGTATCGGATACTTTTATATTCATTCAATCTCATTCCATCTCCTTTCAACTAAGCATATCGGTTTATTAACATAACCATAGTTTGGGCCCTAAACATTGGCTAAGATAATATACGATAGTCTAATTCTTTCATTCCAATAACTAGCAAAATTTTGATATTAAAATTGCATAGTTTCTAATAATTTATCTAAACATCACATAAATCATTCTACATATACAACTTATATGGGTCTTTCTCTACTAACAGGAAAATCATGGTCCAAGCATGTTTTTTTTTATTTTGGCTATATTAATGCATAGTTCTATTTATCAAAACACATAATATATAACCTGTTATTTAAGGAGCCAAGCTGAATCAATATTTAGAATCATAATCATTTCATAAATTCGGTCTAAAAGCCACTAAAAACAGTCCTCTGTTATGTCCTAATTCTGGATCGAGTATGATTCGGTTCGGTTTTTATTAGTTGTATTTAAAAATGTGAAATCTTATTACTCTATGAACATAAAGAATATTGAATGCATGTGAACAAAAAACAATTATAATTTTAGAGAATTTTTTTGTACTAAAAACTAGTGTTTGAATTTTGTCCGATACATTTTTGAACAGTCCTCTGTCACAATTTGAATATCGCGCCACAAAAATATTAAACACTATTGTGGCTACATTTCGCGTCAAACGGAACATTAACAATGTGAAGTTTGCTCGGTTGCCATCCTAAACAAGTCGCCGCCATTTTTCCCAGTGACAACTCCGCGTCTGTGTGGGAGCCACGTCTCTGTAGTGTTGAGTGAACATTCCTCTGGTAAGTCTATTTTACGGTATTTTATGTGTTTTAATTATATTTATTTTACAAAAAAAATTGCTCAGTGTGATAATTTATAGCTGTTTCTGTGTTATGAATTAATATTTAAACTTAATACGTGGTATGACATTTTTTACGTAAAAATAACAGTCCTCTGTGCAACAGTCCTCTGGAAATTTATAACACAGAGGACTGTTCAATGTGACAGAGGACTGTTTTATTTGACGTCCGTGTATTTTATTAATATTCTTTATAGTCTGCACTAACCTACTGCTTGCCGATAGCCTCTTTCTTTCTTACATTGGCCTGTCACGCTAATTCAGGTCTTTTGTTTTCTATTATGGATTTTGGAATATAAAATAATACGTACCTAGTAACTACCTGTTTTTAAACCCTTACGGTTTTTTTTTAATATTGAAAGTATGTTTTATTGTTTTAGTATTGCCGCAATGCCACCAAAGAAGAAACCTAAAACCAAAGAAGAAATAAAAGAGCAGAAACGAATTGCAGAAAGATTAAGATATCAACGGCTAAAGAATGACCCTGTAAAAAGAGAGCAATTGAAGGAAAAAGAACGACGAAACTACTAAAGAAAGAAGGAAAAAGGCATAAGAAATCAGTTAAATATATGAGTCGACGTGAACACAAAGCTGTGACTAAAGAATGGAGAAAGCACTGTGCTACATATCGCGCAAAAAAAAAAAGCTTTAAAAGAAATTACAAACAATTTTGTACGACATAATACGTCTGAATCCGAGGGTTCACCTTCTCCTCAAAGTTCTGTCGCTCCATCAATACTACCTATGACCACTCCACGAAGTGATGCAAGTAATGCGAGAAAGCGTAATGCTAGAAAGAAACGTGACAAAATTATAAAGGATAAAGACAAAAAGATCGAGTATTACAGAAAAAAATCCGAGAAGTATAGGAAGAGATTAGAACGTTTGGAAAAAGCTAAGACAAAGAAAAATGTAGACACACCTAACACTAAACTGACCGAAATGTGTGATTCGCCAGGAGCTCGCAGAGAAGTAGTCAAAAAAGGCGCTATTCGGTGAAGTGTTGAATGCCCAGCTGAAAGAGAACTACGCTAATTTAAAAACCTGCAAAGAGAAACAAATATTCGGAAAAGTCGTGTCCGGTAAACTAATACACAAGTACAAGTTATGGCGAAGCAAAGATAGTTCCATATCTTATAAAACAATTCAGAAGTCAGCGCGTCAATCGGGTTTAGTACCCAAGCTTCGGACTCGCAAAGACAAAATTTCATCTGATTGCATAAACACTGTACGAACCTTCTACGAAAATGATGACAACAGCAGACTTGGCGCAGGAAAACGAGAATGCCTGACCAGAAAAGGGGTTAAAAAACAGAAAAGATATCTATCGGATAGCATTGGAAATTTATACAAGAAGTTTCAAGCTGAACATTTTAAAATAAGCTACCCAACGTTTTGTCGTCTACGTCCTTTCTGGGTCATAACACCAAATGTAAACGAACGTAACACGTGCCTCTGCATTAAGCACGCGAACATCGATCTGAAACTGTCAGCATTGCACAGAAGAAGAATTTTGACTTACAATAGTCACACTGCACTGCTTGAAAAGACATGTTGTAATCGCTATGACGAGCTATGTTTGTCACGAACCTGTCAACGCTGTATTGACAAAAATCCTGACTACAGGGAGTTTGATGACAGCAAGCCTATTGAATTTAAACAATGGATATCTGAGAAACAAACTTACAACGACCCCAAGACCAAGAATGCTCGAACAGTTACCAAATACCTAAAGAAAATGTTCACGGTTCGCCCTCGAGAACTAATAGAAGAGCTGCACGAGGATTTGGAAGCCTATTATCAACACGAGAGAAACATTACCCATCAATACAATGCTATCAAGAAATACAAACAAAACCTTACCGACGAAGACGCTATCATACATATGGATTTTTCAGAAAATTATTGTTCCAAATACGGTGAAGAAATACAAGCATTTCATTTTGGAGGGTCGAGACTTCAGCTAAGTCTTCATACTGTGGTAGTGTATACCAAAAAGTCTATCAAGTCTTATTGTACCGTTTCCAAAAATCTCACACATTCACCAGCTGCTATATGGGCACATTTGCGGCCAATCTTTAAAACTCTCCCACCTAACATAAAGAGCATCCACTTCGTCCAGACCCGTTCAACAGAAACAAAACGATGTTACATCCTGGCATCAAGGCTTCAACAAGAGGTTTCAAATGTGAAGAAGTACCTGGAACTTCAGAGAGTCGTCGCTACAGGAGGTGATATTGATAACTTGGAATCATTTGTAGAGGCCATTCAACGAAGATGTTCCGCAATTACCTTGTTCACAATCGACGATAAAGCCATCCAAGAATTGACAGACGGCCTTCAAAATGAAACAGTTAATTTAAAAAGCTTTAATGGCACTCTTAAAATACATCAAGTTAAGGCTGAAATATTAAGAAGTCCTCTGGAATCAGCTCCAAAAGCCGCTAAACTCATAATGAACAGTTTAAGTTGCACTTGTGAAAACGAGTGCCAGCATTTCAATTTAGGAGTGTTAGAGTACAAAAACAAGACAAAACTTAACGTAGATGATATTTACACAGACTCTGAAAGTGAAAACATGGACAACTCACAGAATTCCACAATGGAAACCGAAGACGACGGTGCACTGGCTGGACCTAGTTCAATCAACCAACAGAATTACACCATCGGTGATTACGTCTTGGTTAAATTTCTAGTAAGAAATACTGAATACTGTTATGCTGCAGTAATCAATAAGATAGACACGGAAGAAGGCGAACTAACAGTAACCTTCTTAAAAATTTGTGATGACAAAGGACACACATTCAGAATCGATGAAAATGATGTTTCTGATGTGCCCTTTGACCAAGTAATAAAGAAGTTGCCAAACCCAGATGTTGCCCTAAAAGGGAAACGAATATTTTATTATTTTAATATACCTGTACCTGTTTTTGAGAAATAAGTCTGCATTGATAAGTAAACAAGACTGATTCTTAGTACCTAAGCTTAATTTTGATTATAATTATTTTAATTTGTTACTTAGAGAGCTAAGCTCGCAATTTGTTCCTGATTTATCATCAATACTTATAAGTATTTAAATTCTGTATGTGATTTAGTATTAAATAAAGAAGAGAATTTATTTGATTACATTTAATAATTAATATTGTATTTTTCTTCATATAAACATTGACATAAACTGTTCTCTGGGTGGAAAAAACAGTCCTCTGGGTGGCAAAACAGTCCTCTGTCGCATTTTTTTACAAAATTGCCTATAATTCGAAAAATAAGGGAAAATTACAATGGTTTCTTGTTTATATGTACTTATATTATAACTATCTATCGACTTAACATATAATATTTTTAATTTTCTAGAAAAATAGGGTTGGGACAACTGTCAATAGACAAGTTTCCAGTTAGTAGAGAAAGGCCCATATTACAACATTTAAAATCCATACTTATTATATTTCCATATCTTTCTTTGCCGTAGTCTGTCTAAAACTTTCACACATCCATACCAAAACCTCAACATTCTTCAAGAGAAAAAAAAATTTACACAACCATAGTTGTTCATCGGTTGATCTAGCCGATTACAAATACTCGTAGTTAAGTTTTACTGTTCTTTTCAAATATATACACCATCGCAATATATTTGAACACAACCTTAGTGTCATCACATCTATCAATACTACCATTCTCATACAGTTTCCTTTCTATACTTTGACTTAAGACTTTTTTTTTATTCTATTCTTTCTTTTACTCTTTTGTGCAAATAGTTTATACTTTTAAGGCACAAACAATTGTTTTTCCATACTACATAAACTTTATTTTTTGACATCATTAATCCTATTTCGCATTTTTTTTCTTATTTATATAAATTGTTTAACATTTGTCTTAGCTTCAATAGTTCATAAGTCATTAGAGTTTAGAGCCATTACCTAAATTCAATATTCATATTATCTCAAAAAAAAAAAAAGTATCGAACTACTATACAGTTTTGTATTACAAAATAATAGTTTATTTTATCAGGTCTTTTTTATCAATTGAATACTGAATTTTAATCGCAGATAAAGTAAATGAAAAAGCATAGATGAATGATTGGTCTCGCTGCGCTCGACTAGATACCGCCGGTGTAGGTACTTGACAAATGCGGCAACAAATACTACGCCGAAGTCGGCGTACCAGGGTTGCCAACCGTACGAGGTTCCTCGTACAAATACGAGATTTGTGGTCTTCCGTACGAGGTACGAGGACACTATCAACCTCGTACAATTATGTACGAGATCTTGATAATATGGCTCTAACATTTTGCACCACTATTATAAAATAGTAAAAACTAGTACCATCTATCAGAACTTGAAGGAACTTCTTACACCAAAAATTTAATTGCCGCATTTACGCGATGATTGTCTATGGTAGCCTAAATCAGACTTGGCTGTATCGGCTCAGCTCCCTTTGCCTGTCCCAAATAGGGACGAAAGGAATAAAAAAAATTATGTAGCTCATAGACTTTGTATGTACCCGTCAACCGGGTAACGGAAATCCCCCGACCAAAACATTTCGTTCTTCGCATTAGTCGTCTATGTCACACATAGCGCAACTTTCTCTGTTCTTTACGTGTTCCATTCGTTGCATGCCGGCCGTGTTTAGTTGTGCTACAATATTACGTGGAGCTAATTGAAGTTTTTGTAAAAAAAGAAGATTTTATTGTTAAATACCTAGTCTTTACGTTGTTTGGACCATTGTTTAGTGGTATAATAGAAGTATCGTAATGAGTGATAATGACGTAAACAGTGACCGTTCGCCTACTTTGACTCCGCCTAGAAAATTACCCAAAAAAGGTGCTTGGACAAGAAAAAAGGAAGGTAACGCATTATCGCAACATCGTGTACAAAATTTTAGACAGCAATGGTTAAACGACCCGACTTTTAAAGACTGGCTTTTGCCAGACACCAATGATTTAACAAAAGCTAAATGTGTATATTGCCCGGGAACATCAATGGTAGCTGAACTATCCAATTTAAAAACTCATGCCTCTACCAAGAAACACCTAGGCAACAAACCCGGAATCAGTGGAAAAACACAAACATTAACATCGCTTGGATTCCAAAGAGGTATAACTCCACAAAATAGAGAAAAAGCTCGTGCAGAAATTAAACTTTCTGCTTTTTTTGCGGAGCACAATATTGCATTCTCGGTTGCTGACCATTTGACAGATTTATTAAAAGAAGTTGTGACGGATTCTAAATTAATCAAGGAAATTGAACTTAAACGAACCAAAATTACAGGTGTGATAAAGAACGTTCTCGGAAAAGGTCATAAGGCAGATTTAGCCCAAAAACTACAAAAAAATCAGTTTTCGGTGATGACGGACGAGACGACCGATGTTTCTACGGTCAAAACTGCTTGAGTTGTGGTACGCTATTTTGATCAAGAAGCTCAAAAGATATGTAGCGCATTTTGGGAGCTGTACAAAGTTTTTAAGGAAACACCTGATGCTGTTGATATTCCTACTGCCAATGCCGAGAATTTATACAGAGCTCTTATTGATTCATTTACTAACCGTAATGTTCCATTAACAAATGTGATCGGCTTTGGCTCAGATGGGTGTAATGTCATGATGGGTGATAACGACTCAGTGAAAACAAGGTTATTACGCGATTTTCCAGGAATCATAATCACGAAGTGCGTTTGTCATTCGGCCCATTTATGTGCCAGTGAAGCCTGTAAACAGCTGCCTGAAGGTGTAGAACAACTGGCTAGAGATATCTACAACTTTTTTAAACGGCTATTTGATTTTCGTAACTTCCAGTCGTTTGCTGCAGTGTAGCCTCACAAAATACTGAAACCATCACAGACAAGATGGCTTTCCTTATTATCAGTGGTTGAAAGGATATTAGAGCAATGGGAAGCCCTACGTCTTTTTTTTATCGATTTTACGACAAATCGTGCACATAGAGCAAGAGCCGATGTAAGAAATCGAGCAGTATTTATTCTCGAAAAACTCAGCAACCCATTCTACAAACTTTATTTCTGTTTCCTTGAATGGTCGCTCCCTTTATTCAATAAGTTCAATCTGGAATTTCAAAGCGAGAAAGTAGTTGTTCACAATCTACATGAGAAAATTCGTACACTCTACCAGGAAATCCTATTGCGTTATTTACAACGCGAATATGTCATGAGGCCAAATCTTGGTGAAATAAACCCTGAAAGTCAGCGACATCAGCTCCATGACAATGCACTGTATCTTGGTGTCAAAGTGTATGAGCTCTTGAAACATCCAGATGTGATCAGACAGCCCACAGATATCGCTCAGTTCTTCTCATGCTGCAAAAATTTCTACAAAGTTGCAGCCATCGAAATTAAAAAACGATATAACATGGAAGATCCTGTCAAGTTTTTGAGCCTGCATCTGCACTCTCCTACAATTTTAGGAGCAATTTCCCTACACTTATGCCTCTTATGGAAGTGGTCCCCCGAATAATCGCAACAGCTGATCATGCAAAGAAACAAATAATCGACAATCAATGGAGGAGTTTGCCAAATGCACAAGCTCGTCATCCTAAAGGGTTGAATGAAATTAGTGAGCCAGATAAGTTTTGGGCTCAATTACTGAAAACTGAAGACTTTTCCGAGCTAGCTCATTTTGCCCTATCTACACTGTCCCTACCCCATGCGAATGCTGACTGCGAGCGGGTTTTTAGTAAAATCAATTTAATAAAGACAGAAATACGAAACCGGCTAACTGTGGAAACAGTGAACGGCACACTTCTTGCTGCAGAGAGCGCAAAGGGTTCAACTCGTACTGGAAACTGCGTCAATTTTGAGCCCACAAAAGAAATGTATAGTCGCATGACAAAAGATAAAATATACGGCAGAAAAAACGATGACAGTGAGGATGTTCCTGACATAATATTTGGAGAGGAGATGTAAACTAAGTTACCTTTACCTTTTTGTTACATTTTAATTGTCGTAATAATATAGCCACATTTAGTTTTTTTTTTGTGATTTTACTTGAGTAATAATAAAGGTTTTTTTAAATACTTATAAACTTGCAATAGTTTATTTCATTGAGAAAAAGTCCTAAATCCAGTAGTTCAATATACATTAATTTTGGTTTAGCACGTTTTCGATGCATAGTAAATGTACGAGGTTTGAAACTCAAAATACGAGATTTTACGTAAGTACGAGGAGATATTTTTTACTGTTGGCAACCCTGCGGCGTACCCGAGCCAGCCGCATTCCAAGCTGTCTGTGACGTGCACGTGTTGAATGTTTTATTAAATTTTGGGCATAATCCGAAGTAAAATGCCAGTATGCGTAGTGAAACTGTGTAAAAATAATACTACAAGAAATAAGAAAGACACTGGGATCATATAACATCAGTAAGTATCGTATAATTTCGAAATTTCAACATAAAATAACATGAACCCTAAACGCCATTCAGTGTTGCCGCGTATACAAGAGTCAAGTTCCGCGTGGTTGAGATTTTCGTATGTGAATTTATTGTTTTTGTATTTTAACAAATAACATATTTCATTTATCTAACCTAGTTATTGTATAGTTAACCTAGTTCTATAAATTATTTAGGGCCGGTTGTTCAATCCTCAGATAAAAAGTCTGTCGTTAAATAACTACTACCACTACCTGGGTTTGGGTGGGATACTCTGGTTACTGTAAAAAATTAAAGCGCGTGGGTATTATTAGGTTTAGCACGTGGTAGTTTTTTTTTTGTAATCTGACCTAGTTCACAAAACTAACCTTTGAGATGAAATTTGGGTGAGTTGTTGTGCGCACGCCGGGGAAGATTTCTAAATTAAATAATTTGGTCAAGCGTGTGTTTCCGTACAAAATATTACCAAATTCAGTTCAGTGGTTGAGTTGTGAAAACGTTACAGAGTTGCTTTTATAATGATTAAGTATATGTGTAATGCAGTCATTATTCATCATCATCATCTGCCTAGCCTTTTCCCAACCATTATTATCATCGTATTATGTTTGCTTGGTACAGATTTCCTGCTGATCCTGTCATTTGTGACCGTTGGACTGCTAAAGTACGACTTAGTCGAGAAGAAAGTTGGTGGAACCCAAGAGAACGCAGTGTTATATGTTCCAATCATTTCAATGAGAGCGACTTGTACTTTACAAAAGGTGGTTTAAAAAGATTGTGTAAGGGAGCTGTACCACAGAACGCGTTGTTTTTATCTTCGACATTGCCGGACAACATTTCTCACAAAAGTACGGTGACTGCAGAACCAAGCACTGCTCCAGTTGTCAATTCTAACAACAGTGCAGTAACTGCAGAACCAAGCACATCAGCTCCAGTTGTCAATTCTAACAGCAGTGTGCTAACTGTAGAACCTAGCACATCAGTTTCAGCTGTCGAAGGAATCATTCTAACTACTGGTAATGAAACTCCACCACTAGATAACTTTCCCGACATTGATTATATTTTTGATACACCGAGAAAGATAAAGCTTAAAAAAGAGATTCACAAGAAAACTATTTTACAATCAAACATGGGAGAATAATTAGAACCTTGCGTGAAAAGACTCGTCGATTAAAAAAAGCTAACTGTAATTTAAAAAGTATCATCAAATCTTTAAAGCAAGAACGGTTCATTGATAATGATATATATAATATTCTCAGTAAAAATGTTGTCGCAGCAGATTTGTTCAATAACATATATAAGAAGCATAAAAATGAAAAGAAAATCTTGCCGAAATATACTAACGAACTCAAGAAATTCTGTTTAACTTTAAACTTTTACTCTCCATCTGCATATAATTACGTGAGAAGTAAATTTAGCACATGTTTGCCACATGCCAAAACATTAGGCAAATGGTATCGCAACATCGATGGTGCTCCAGGTTTTACTGGAGAAGCGTTCATGTTATTAAAACTAAACGATGATAAAGGCAATGTTATTTGCGCGTTGATAGCTGATGAAATGGCTTTACGCCAACAAAGTATGTGGGACCGCAATCAAAATCACGGTTATGTTGATATGAGTACTGGTGTAAATAACACTTCTGTATTAGCATCAGAGACATATGTGTTCCTATTGGTTTGCTTAACTGAGCACTGGAAACTGCCTGTAGGGCACTTTTTAGTGCATGGCCTAACAGGATCCCAAAAAGCGAACTTAATATCGCTATGTTTAAGTAAATGCCATGAAGTGGGTGTACGTGTCGTATCAATTACGTTCGATGGACATCCTTCGAATATCTCCGCGATGGAAATATTAGGTTGTCGAATAAAGGATTCCAATAATTTGAAGACTACGTTCAAACATCCTTCTCCAAATGACGAAGTGGCTGTTTTCCTTGATCCTGTTCATATGTTTAAATTGATCAGAAATCATTTCGAAAGTAAAAAGTCTTTTCTAGATGACGAAGAAAATGAAATTGATTGGAGTTTTCTAGAAAAACTAAACGAGTTGCAAGATAAAGAAGGCCTCCATTTAGCTAATAAAATAACGAAACGTCATTTAGAGTTTCGTAATAATGTAATGAAAGTAAAGTTTGCTTCCCAATTGTTAAGCAAAAGCGTTGCAATCGCTCTGAAATTCTGTAGAGAAGATTTATATTTACCCGAATTCAAAAGGAGTGAAGCAACAGAGAAGTTCATTTTATTATGCAATCATTTATTTGATATATTCAATGCCAGAGATTTGAAGCAACATGGATTTAGTCATTCCATATATAATGGAAATAAAGATAATATTCTTAATTATTTAGAACATGCGAAACAATATATTATAAACTTAAATATAAAATCCTCCGGAAAACGTTCTTTTAAAGAACACAACCAGCAAAAGAAAATCATTATTGAAAGCTTTAAGCCCGTTTTAAGTACTCAAGCAAATACTGGATTTTTAGGAATGTTAGTGTGTATTGAAAGTCTCAAACACATAACTAATCTCCTAGGTAGGTAGGTAACTAATCTCTTAGCTAAGGCACTCCCTCAGCGGCACTTAGCCGCCTGCGCCCTCTTTTCCCAAAAGAGGGTCGCTCATGATAAGGCACAATACAGCTTAATCAGCCGGCTGCCTGTCCCCAAAGGCGGTTTTTAGAGGGTATCACTTAGGGTCCCCGGTAGGACAGTGAGCCCCTCATAACCACGATAGACCGGCTATGGTGGTATGCGTAATGCATTTTCCGCCTCCCTACATATAGGGTAGCCCTTTAATTGCTTCGGGCGCAAAAAAAAAATTAAATAAATAAATTAAAAGAAAATATCCCACAGAATAAACAGCTTCCAAGCATTGAACTTGAGAGGAGCGCTACGGCGATGCTTCAGGAAGCAGGCTTAGCGGACATGCAAACATGCGAACCTATCGAAGTGGAAACCCTCACTGAAGCATCTGGAACGCCTCGGGGCAGAGGCGGCGTAAGGCGTGGGCGACGTGGGCCACCGCCTACGGCCTCGCGATCCAGGGGGCCTCCGCCAGGGGGGAGGTTTATGCATTTTAAAACCGTAAACGGGCCGAAAAATTCATTGTCATGAATCGATATTATTGACATAACTAAATATGTTTTTATTCAGTCTAGCAACGTTAGTTTGCGTTGCTATTTTTTGTTGAATTCCCGCTGCGGGGCGACTAGTACACATACAGTAATCTATGGGGGCGACAAAGGCCGAGGATTCCCCGTTCTGTTTGTTAGACATAGAATACTGACTTTATTTAATCGTGGGCGCGTGGCAATCGAGTAAAGAGTGCGGTACAGCAGCCCACGTGGTTGCTGTACGTATATTTTCGCGCTGTAAGCACATGAGTAGCTTCTTAAGAACTTTCAAAATTGTTACCTATTTTGGTAGGGTTGTCAATGTACAGTGAAGACAAATTAAAGCTCTAGAACGTTTACGTACATTTTGTGACTGGATTAAAGTATATCAACAAACTTGTTTCGAAAAATAATTGTCTGGTGATCAACAGTTTATTGAAAAAAAAAAAAACAAAAAACTGTCATGATCTGCCAAAGGACTTTAAAAATAAAAGAGTAGCCAAAAAGAATAAGATGTTGGATTATGAAGGCAAGGCCTATATAGTCTCCTACAAAAGACTTTAAGCGTAGAAAGTTTTATCTACCGAGGCAGATATGGCATCCAAGCTGGATTATAAGGCTATAATTAAACAATTCAGCAGGATAAAAAGCAGAATATATATTTCTTCATTTTTGTTTGAAATTGTTTGGTGTTGGTACTTAATGATTTTGTAAAAATAAAAATTTCATAATGTCAAGTGTTTGGTTTTTCGTTTTATATAATCCGTCTTCTTGCGCGGGCAGAGGGCCTCGCAAAATATATCTTGCCCACATAAAATTTAGGTCTTGCGCCGCCACTGCCTCTGGGAAATCTGGACAGGACTGAAGTTTCACTTGGCGACTCTGAACAGCCTACTGATTCCAAGAGATTTATACTGTGAGTAATTCTATATCTTGTTGTAGTGTAAGTGCGATAAACGAGCACAGAGTCCACCTGATGGTAAGTGGATGCTGTGGCCCATAACCTGCCTTCTTTGTACGAGGTTGGCTGCAGGCAGGTGTTCACGGACTGTCATAGATCACCACTTCCCGTCAGGTGGAATGTAATTTAGTTTGTCACTAAAATAAAAACAATATATACTTATGTAACTGATACAAAATTAGAAGATAGTCTTATCCGAAATGATCACACCGCACTTTACTCGGAGATTTTTTCCCATTTTGATTAAAAATATATTTCGTTTACAGTGACCAATGGGGGACCGAGGGCACGATGGTTAAAATCTTGCAAAATATAAAGGAGGGGTCAAGACCGATTACTATCAATAACCTAGTAATGAAGGAACCAACACTACAAGGAAAAAGTAATATAATAGCAGCGCGCTGTTTTTCTTCCGTACTCCGTATGAACCGATTAAACCATTAATACATTATAAACTACCTAATAATAAAAATAGACCAACAATAGTTATCTACTTTCAGAATTGAAGCAATGGGGCTTCAACCAAGTGTGTAAAGATCCACAAACTATGGAAATTACAGACATATTTTTGGGACTGAAATTTGATACATTAATGTGAATTTATTTTATTTTGTTGTTTGTTTCTTAATAAATAAATAAAATATATAAAGTAATTATTTAAATTATTATCTTGCTGAAAATATCTTTATCTATTTCAATAAAACAGTATAGTATCTAATAAAAAAATACGATAAACAGTTTTAATGGGTGATTCAGGTAAAAATACTTTTTTCAATAGCCTTTTTTTGACAGATCACGTGTGAGTCGTGTCATGCTGTCTTGTTATTTTTGTTTAGTATTGTTTGGCATTTCATAATGGAAAGACTTACGCCTGAACAACGTTTACAAATCGTTCAAGTTTATTACGAAAATTCACGTTCTGTGAGGAATGTGTTTCGTGAACTTCGCTCAACATATCGATGGTCTAGAAGACAAACATGGTAATTACAAAATTTTGATAATTTAACATTTTAATGCCAAATGTATTAAATGAGCATGCTCTACGGATCCCACTCATTCAAATGATATTATTCCGTCTCTTTCTGTCTAAACTGTATTTTTACATTCATAGTAAGTGATGTCATTTTGAAGCCGAAAACAGTAATGGCAGTTATTTACCATCAGTTTAACTACAAAAAATGCTAAATAGATTTATGAAATTTCGCTTGTGTTTACCATAATCGACAAATAAGCGAAATATTTTTATTACGTTTGTCAGATTGAGGAAACAAATGTCCGAAAAAAAGTAAAAAAGTAAACCCAGACACGTGGAAGATAAATATAGCAAAAAACAAACGTCAAAGCGGTAAATCTCATATCAACAGAAAGGTTAACCCTTTAATTCGTAAAGTTGAGAATACTCAACATTCGAAATAAATAAATCCTGTATGAAAACTTGAACGCGTAGAAAAAATATTTTTACTTTGAAAAAAAAGGTGAAACGAAACGCAACTCGTAAAAAGAAAGTTGTGTGTCACGGTGAAACGAAACGCAACTCGTAAAAAAGAAAGTTGTGTGTCACAAACGTCAGATTTTGACGGTGGCGGCAAAATGGCATCACGTTCATCTGCACCGTTTGGACCTAAGGTAAATAAAATTTATTATTAGCAATTTAAATCATATTGATACCTATTATTGCCTTGCATTTCAATTTTAAATTATTATTTTATGCACGTAATGAAAAAAAGCCTGAAAATATTGTGGTTTAGTATGTGTTTGATGGTTTTCAAGTTGAATGTTGAATATACTCAACAATGCGAATGTTACTATTATTCACCTGATTTTTTCTATGTTGAGTATTTTCAACATTGCGAAATGCTTTAGGTTTTGTCCTATAACTTAACATGATGAGTATATTCAACATTGCGCGTGTACTAACATTTATTCCCCTCTTATCTGAGACCCTATTATTGTTCATTTTTCGCTTTGGTTTTGGATGCCCTACGTTTTTTGTGTTATTTTGCTTCAGAAAATGCTTAAATGGCAACGCACGCAAAAAATTATGGTGCTTGTACCTCCCGCAAAAGCACCCTCCGATGACAGCAGCACATCTGAAGATGAAGTTATAATCAATAATTACACAAAACCGAAAAAACAACAATCATCTGACTCAGAACACAACTACGAATCATCTGAACCACGTTCTTATCCCTCTGAAATTGATGACTTAAGCTTAGATTCACATTCCGAAGATGAGATTCCTGCGACGCCATCACCTAGGCCACTACAGCTACAAAATGAAAGCAAGTCATACTTACCCAATTCCAAAGAAAATTCTCGTCCGACGACGCCTCCATCGCCAACTCCGCCTCAACAAAATGATTGCAACATACCTGAAGTACCATGTTCTGAAGTCCAAACTCCGATTTCGTCTGCGTCGATGCCACAAGATATAATGAATGATTCCATACTCCACATACCAACAATTCCCTTGTCTCCTTTAATTAACCAAATGTTTTCACCAGGCCCGTCAAATCAGCCGCTCCCATTCACACTGAATTCGGTCTCATCAGTATTATCACCTAACATGTCTCCAGCAGCACCTAATACACGTTCAAAGCGACGACAGAACACAAAACCTAAACACCCAGCGGCAAAAAAAGTAAAGAAGTTTGTAAGAAAACCTCTATCATTCAAATTCAGAGCAGGAAAACTACAGTACGCAGCTATATTTGAACCACCGAAACACGATTTCTCACCCGATCCACATCATTCAATCTTAGATTATTTCACTGACTTTTTTTCAAATGACATATTCGAATTAATAGTAGAACAGACAAACTTATATTCAGTTCAAACCGATTCGAGATCTATAAATATAACAAACGATGATGTGAAAGATTTCATAGCGATTACACTCATTATGGGGGTAGTGAAAATGCCCTCTTACAGAGATTATTGGAGTCGATTTTTGCGATATCCAGCTGTCGCTGATATCATGCCTTTAAAAAAGTATGAGAAAATAAGGAAATATTTACATTTCGCCGACAACAGCAACATTAACGACGACCGTTACTACAAAGTTCGACCAATTATTGAAAAAATTAGGCTTAATTGCTTAAAAATGAAGGAGGAACAACGCTACAGCGTCGACGAAATGATGGTCCCATACAAAGGGACAAGAGCGGGAAGTAGGCGCCAATATCTACCTAAAAAACCAAAAAAATGGGGGATGAAGTTATTCGTTCGAGCAGGCGTCTCTGGTTTAGTGTATGATTTCATTCCTTATGGTGGAGAAGACACGTTTAGAAATCATTCTTTTACTGAATACGAGGAGAGCCTCGGTCTTGGAGCAAAAAGTTGTGCTAGCACTTTGCAAGACCATTGAGGATAAACCTGCAGTCGTATATTTTGACAATTTCTTTACGTCATTGGAGCTAATTCACCATTTGCGTCAAGAATACGGTATTTTTAGTCTTGGTACCATAAAAAGTAATCGTTTGAGAGGTTGTCAAAATAAACTACTAGCAGATAAAGTTCTCGCAAAAAAAGGACGGGGTGCAAGCTCCCAGATCGTCTGCAATGACACGAAACTTGCTGTTGTCAGATGGTATGACAATAAGCCGGTGACATTGGCTAGTTCATTCGTCGATTCCCATCCAATGGGAAAGATTCAAAGGTATTCCAAAGATACAGAATCTAGGGTGGAGGTCAATTGTCCTCAGATTGTGAAGCAATATAATGCCCATATGGGGGGCGTAGACTTGGCGGACATGCTTATCGCTCTATACCGTTCAAACTTTAAAACTAAGAGGTGGTACATGACCATGTTTTCACAATCTCTGGATATTTGCGTCAACAATGCTTGGTTATTACATAGGAGAGATCATGCTGATCCTAAAGACCGTTTACCTCTCAAAAAATTTCGGATACAGATAGTATCTGAGCTTTTACATAAAAACAGAACGAGGGTGACAGTGAGTCAGGAAAACGATCCTCCTAAAAAAATAATTACTCCAGCTGCTCCAAGACCGACTGATGCTGTACGATATGACAACAATGGACATTTACCCATGTTTGTGTCGTATGGACGGTGCAAATACTGTAAAAATGGGTACACAAATATTACTTGCTCAAAATGTATCCTCAGGCTGTGTCTAGTTAGTAAGAGAAACTGTTTTTATAATTACCATGTTAAGTAATAATATGTGAATTTGATTTTTTCTACTAAGGCTGTGTCTAGCCAACTTATTCTATGATTAATTAATAAGAAATAAAACTTTATTTGATTTTCTCTATAGTTTGTTCTTTTATTTTAATATATTAGTAAACTACCTTTACAAGGGCAATGTTGAAAATACTCAACGCTCAATTTATTAGGTAATGTTCCAATATGTCGCGCAATGTTGAGTATTTTTAACATACGATATTTGATAAAGTATACAATAATAATAATAATTTCTATTTTTTTTGGCTATAATTAGTCAACATTAATGCAATTAAACAGAAAAAAACATGTTTACATAACTTTTATTTTTCTGCGCATTAAAGGGTTAACATTGTTACTGCAAAAAACTGTGTTCCTACAGATTGAGTAAATGTAGATACAAATGTAATGAAAATTTTCCTGAAAATGTAAGAGCTGATTCTTTGTCGTAATTTTTAGGGACTTGGAGAAAGCAAATATCAAAAAAATTTCCTTTTAACTCTTATAAAACACGCAAATATTCAACGTATGAGTCGATACATATCAAAAGTCCACTAAACAAATTTTTTGATGTTTTTTATTAAGGTAATTTATGTGCACAAAATAAAAACGTTGTTTTAGATCAATTCTAACTAAGTCCACTATTTCTCTTAAAAATAATGCCCCAAATTCTACGTTTCTTTTCAAAATCGCCTAAGTCACAATGTCATTTTAAATCAAACCCGCCAAAGTCCTCTTCAACCAATGACAGACAGCTCTGCTCAGTGTCATGGCTGCCATTGTTGTCGTAAGTTCTCGGCGTGCGTATCGTATGCTTAGATTTTTATTAAATAATGGAAGATATAATAAGAGTTGTGAGACCTGAATTAGCTAAAAAAGAAGGCGAAGTTAATAGGAAAGGAAAAACGGAAGAAAAAGCAGCAGGATTTATAAGTTTCTTTGTTTAATTTTGTATTGTTTTAAGTAGGGCTATAGCGACGTGGTTATTGATACCGGTCATAAACAGGGGCGGACTCAGATGGACTCGATAATTAATATTTTTGTATGTAATTCAGTGCTAATTTCATTACTATTTATTTTACTTAACTATTCATAACTATATCGATTATTTTTAGTAGATTATCCCATATATTATTCCAATACATGCGTGCGTGCCGTATGACATGGGTATGCCTGTTTACTTAGCGCATATTGTGCTTTATAAATTGTATGCATTATTAAAAAAAAACTCCTCCGTATTAAAAAAAAGTACTCCGCAAAAGCCTTACCGGAGAAACCCAAGCGTCAACACAACAAAAAGAATACATACAAATGTGAAACGTTAACTTCAAATGATATTTTTTACTTTCATAAAAAGTTTTATAGCCAGCCTAACAAAATTAGTCAAGATAATTATATTTTGCAAAATTTACTCTTAAGACCTGTGAAAAGAAAACGCCCAAGAAATAATACACGAAACGTGCGTGCTTACTCAAAACAATATTTTATCAGCAAGTACAAAACTAAAGAAAAAGTCCCGGTCTGTCTAGCTACATTTTGTGGAATTCTAAAAATTAAACAAGGTCGCATAAAAGGCGTTTCAAATCGATATGCAGCCACAGGAGAAATCCCATCAGAAAAACGTGGAGGAGATAGAAAACATCATGCTTTCCGTTCCAAGAGAGAAGCCATACAGAACTTTATAATGAAATTTCAACCGTTGGAAAGCCATTATTGTAGGGGCAAAATAAAACGAAGAGTTTATCTTGATACAAGCTTGAACATTTCGAAATTATACAAAATGTATGAAGACTAATCTATGCCAGGATATTCTGTGACCAAAAGCTTTTTTAGAAAAATATTCAATACCTCCTTTAATATTGGGTTTGGGTCTCCACGCCAAGACGTCTGTTCGGACTGTTTGCAATTATTAGAAAAACTCAAAATGGAGAAAAGTGAAATTGAAAACCAAAAATTGCGTACCCAATATAGGGTTCACAAAATAAGGGCAAAATGCTTTTTTGACAAATTAAGAGAAGATAACCAAGATTTGCTAATTCTGTCATTTAATTGTCAGAAAAATTTACCTCTACCAAAAGTAGCTGATCAATCAGCGTATTATTCTCGACAATATATAAAATATATATATATATATATATATATATAACTTTACGATTGTAGAAGGTAATTCCCACGCTAGCCTCACCAAAAATAATGTTTATTCATATGTATGGACAGAAGATGTGGCATCAAAAGGTGCCAACGAAATTGCGTCCTGTTTATATCATTGCCTGAATCATTCAAATCTTGATGGCAAAACGAAGATAAGGCTTGTGGCTAACGGTTGCAGCGGCCTAAATAAAAATTCGATATTGTTCGGAATGGTCGCTAAGTGGCTGCATGATACACAACATAGTATAGACCAGGTGGAGATAGTCTTTCCCGTTACAGGACATAGTTTTATTCCACAAGATCGGGTGTTTGCTATGACAGAAAAAAAAATAAGACGATTAGAAACTATAACAAATCCTGAAACTTACATTGACATTATGGGTTCTAATGCTTCAATCCGACGTTTAGTTACTGAAGTACAAATTTTCGATTGGAAGTCTGCATGTCGAGATATTTTAAAAAGCACTCAAACGTTACACTTTCAGATAAGTAAAACGAAGAGAGTTATCGTCGATAAAACAGAATGTCGCAAAATCTTGGTTCGGGGAGAAATTTCATATAGAAATGATATTTGCAATTCACTAGCCATAACTAAGCGTGGGAAATCTTTTTCTAGAATTTTACCGAACAGAATAGAAGCATGTTTTAATGTTAAAACTGAAAAACTAACAGATGTTACTAAACTACTTGAAAAATATTTTGATAAAGACTGGAAAGACTTACCTGACTTGCAATATTATAAAAATGTATTGTTTCATAACATAAGTTTGCCCCAAAAAGACGATGATGCAATAAATGATGACTCTGATTATCTGCCCGATGAAATTTTAGATTTTGTATAATTAATAATAACTAAACGCCATTACATTAATAAATGATAATTTATATTTGATTTAATTTCTATTTTTTATTTTCGTAGGATAGGTCCCAAGTACGCCCCTCTATTTGTCAGTTGCATCAAACCAGCTAAAGTCACATTTGTTTTTTTCATTATCGCCTAAGTCCGGTAACCGTTGATTTCAAACGAACCTAAATCCATGGTGTTAGGATCAAAGTTGCTTAAGTTCAAAATAAAAACCCGTTTATTTTATTGCCTGATTGGTGTTTTAACTTTTTTGTCACAGTATTGCCTGTTGTATTGTACGCGTAAAGTCAAATCACACTTTGCATTACATTTGTAAAAACAGTCTGCAATAAACCATTAGACAGTGAAAACGTTTAGTTCTCTAAAGTGACATATAAGCTAGTTTGACCCGTCCGTATAACAACTTAAAGAACATAGTGGCCTGCATCGAGCCGGATTTTTATTGAATAGGCGACTGATAACGTCGAGTCGGAGAACAAAACAGCCTGGACGCTAATACCAAACAAGTTGCATTAAAGTTATTAGTGTACAAATAAAGTGAATAACCGTCATATTATTCAATATTTAACATGGAAAACCCGGAACAAATTTTAAGTGAACTTGAAGATTTGCACTGTTGTATTGTTAAAATCCACGATAACTTTAAAAAATGTCCAAATGCACGTCTAACTAAGGGCTATTTAGAAACAAAAATTAACTGCCTTGATGACTATTGGAACTCGTTTAAGACCGCACATATAAATTTATTAAAATCTATGCCTAAGGAACACCGAAAACGCTTTGAATATTTTAATAAAGACGTGTATTATTCGTGTGAAGAAAGTTATATGCAAATAAAAGCGGATATGAAGGACTTATTAGATTCATTACATTCTACGGTTACACAATCAGCTGGCGTTGGTGAAAATAAGATGTTGCAGCGTGAAGTTCCCCAAGTCAAGTTGCCCAGAATACAGTTACCATAATTTTCTGGCAGTTACGAAAATTGGCCGACGTTTCAAGATTTATTTTTAACACTTGTTGATAAAAATGAAACACTTAGTTGTGTTCAAAAACTACATTACTTGAAGTCTAGTGTAACGGGTGATGCCGAAAGTTTATTGAAACATATTCAGGTAACCGAAACGAATTATGCACAAGCGTGGGATATATTAAAGAAGCGTTATAGCAATAAACGACTCATAGTGACCTCTATTCTAAAAGGAATGTTTAACCAAAAAAAATTGCAAAGTCAGTCCGCAAGTCAAATTAAATCTTTACTCGACACTACGACCGAATGTCTTAATAGCTTGAAAAACCTAAACGTTATTACCGAACATTGGGATACAATGGTGATTTATCTGGTCGTAAATAAATTAGATTTGGAATCCCATAAGGAATGGCAAGAATTTGTAAGCAAGTAAATAGACGATGAGTTGCCCACCTTGATGACATTAACAAAATTTATGAAAATGAAATTTCGAACACTTGAGTTGTTATCGCCAGGTTCAACAAAGGATAGAACTACAGTGCGCTCATATCATGTTACAACTACGGAGAGGGTTTGTCCGTTGTGCAACGGGAATCATACTCTATGTCACTGTAAGAATTTTGGTAAAATGGAACCAACAATGAGGAGTGAATTAGTAAAGACAAAAAACAAATATTTTAACTGTCTAATTCCTGGTCACCCAGACAAAGCTTGTCGTTCATCCAGCAAATGCAGGATTTGTCACAAACGTCATCACTCTCTTCTTCATCATTCACGAGCTACGAGTCCCCAAGGTGAAAAGCAAAAGGAAACACAACCGAAGGTTCTACATACAAATGTTGAAGAAACAGAAGAACTTCAAATCAATACAATGATGACGTCACAAGCTCAAGCAATGAGGAATTCAGTTTTATTAGGTACAACAATAGTCACAGTACGAAGTGAAGATGGATACACAACTGTATTAAGAGCCCTCATTGACCCGGGATCACAGGGTTGTTTAATTAGTGAACGTGCAGCTCAATCTTTAAAGGCCAAAAGATATAAGGTTAAGGGAAACATTATTGGTGTGGGATCTGTAATGTCAAAAAGAAATCAAGTAGTTCAGGTAGAGGTAATATCACAGTATCAAGGCGAATTCAGCCTCAAGGTAAAAGCGTACGTCATATCAAAACAACTGACTACTAAAATCCCCTCAAAATCAATTGCATTTTACGAATGGCCTCATCTCCAAGGACTTAGTTTAGCAGATCCAAATTTCCACACAACAGGATCTATTGATTTGTTGTTAGGAGTAAATGAATATGCACAAATCTTGCAGAGTGAAGTCATCAAAGGTCCACCTGGAACGCCTTGTGCGCAAAATACTGCACTGGGTTGGATTGTTTTCGGGAGCGTAAACGACAATTTACAACAACAAGAACAAACAATGATAGTAATGCACCAAGTAACCGAAGTAGATGATATGTTGAAAATGTTATGGGAAGTAGACCCGACTCCTAAAAGAAGATACACGAAGGATGAAGAGAAATGTGAAGAAATATTTAAGAATACCTATTCGAGAAATAGCGAAGGAAGGTACATAGTTCAATTACCATTTAAAGTAGATAACCCGAAGTCACATAAAGGAAACAGCAGAGAAATTTCAATGAAAAGATTTTTACAGTTAGAACAAAAATTAGATAAAATACCACATCTTAAAGAGAAATATCAGGAGGTCATTAAAGAATATCATACAATGGGGCACATGGAAAGAATTCCTAAACAAAAAATAACCAAGTGTGCAGTTTATTTGCCTCATCATGCTGTAGTACGCACCGACAAAGAAACAACCAAAATGCGTGTTGTTTTTGATGCTTCATGTAAAAATTCTCAAGGAATATCTCTTAACGATGAGCTCTTAGTAGGACCCGTTTTACAGGAAGATTTAAGAAGTATCATTATGAGATGGCGGATGCACAAAATTTGTTTCGCAAGCGATGTTGAAAAAAATGTATAGGATGATATTGTTAAAAAAGGAACATACAGACTTTCAAAGAATTTTGTGGAGAGATAATTCATCCAAATCTAACGAAATAGAGGATTTCAGGTTGTTGACAGTTACATTTGGTACAGCATCAGCACCATATCTAGCCGTCAAAACCTTATTGCAAATTGCAGATGATGAAGCCAAAGACTATCCAAATGCAGCGAGAATAATACGTGAGGACTTTTATGTAGACGATTTAATGTCTGGGTGTGATACTGTTCAACAAGCCATAGAAGTATGTGAACAATTAAAAACTATTCTTAACAGAGGCGGCTTCAGACTACAGAAATGGATATCAAATAGTGCTGATTTGTTAAGGTCATTAGAACCAAGTGAAATATCAACAAGAGCTTGCTTGAATATTAAAATCGATGGCACAGTAAAGGCACTCGGCCTGACATGGAATTTAGGTGAAGATGAATTTCAATACACAGTGACTTTACCACCTGTTCTAAGGAACGTCACTAAACGTAATATATTAGCAGATGTACAAAGGATGTTTGATCCTTTAGGATGGATAGCACCCGTGATTATCAAGGCTAAAATATTTATTCAAAGGCTATGGTTAGAAGGAGTAAGCTGGGATGACAATATAAACGAAGAATTACGGAAAGAGTGGCTGACAATACGTTATGATCTAGATAATGTCAATCAAATGCGAATGAAACGTTGGATTTATACAAAAACCGCTAATAAAGAAACCACATCGAATACCAACAAACCAAAACGATATCGTACAGACAAGCATTGTAGCTGCCAGAACCAAGGTAGCTCCGATAAAAACGATTTCTTTGCCTCGCCTTGAGTTATGTGGCGCAACTTTATTAGCTTCTAAATCACGTGGCTGAAGCGATGAGAATACCTTCCACACAAGTTTTTGCGTGGACTGACTCTTCAGTAGTTTTGGCATGGCTTATTGGCGAACCAAATAGATGGAAGCCATTTGTCGCAAATCGTGTTGTTGAGATAATGGAGAATGTTAAAAATGGCCAATGGTACCACGTGAAAACTCAGGACAATCCAGCGGATGTTGCGTCAAGAGGTTCCTCTGCTCAAGTTCTTCTCACAAATCAGTTATGGTGGCATGGACCACCATGGTTGTTACAGAAAGAAATAATATTTTCAAGACCAAAGTGGCTTAAAAAGGAACGTGAATTTGCTATCAATGAAATTGTTCTCATTAAGCATGATAAACTGCCGCCTGGAAAGTGGATGCTGGGTCGCATACTTGCCAAACATCCTGGATTAGATGGAGTCACAAGAGTTTATAGTCTAAAGTGCGGTGATAGTGTTATTAAAAGAAGTGTGTTAAAACTGTGTCATTTGCCTATTGATTATAATTGAGTTTTATTCATGTTTATTTTTTGATTGTTTGTTAATGTATAACATTTGAATAACTATGTCTAAATATTTTTGTACTATTACATATTGTACTTAAATTGTAGATATAATGATCTTTTAAAAACCTAAAATAGGATTATAATTATTACCAAATACCAACTACGCGGATTGAGATTCAAAGATGCCATACACAATACCGGAAGAGAATAGGAAATATGTACTTGAGCACGAGCCTCTGTACCAATATATAACAAATTGGAGAGAATGTCACAAGACAGGAGGAGAAGTTAACACTTCTGGGCAGCATACCTACTCACCGGACTTGGTGTTATCAACAGTGTTCACCTTCATAACACCCTTCACCACAGAGTGTTTCAGTGGGTTTAGGGATGGTAAACCCGGGCCAAAGGCAACAGAGAAGACAGACGCGGAGGTTGACATGGCTGTGTTGGCCCTTGCACTGACCTCTTACATGACTCTAGCCAAGCCAATCACCAACCAAAACAGCGCCGCGTACTCAAAAAGATGGAAGGCAGCACTAGCAGCAATGCATATTATATCATTAGTATTGACAGTACTGTACTTCATTTTAAGGTATAATTTACGCCAGACAAGAAAAACATCGTTTTCCCAAAAGTTGTTTATTCGTGACTTAGGCACGTTTGATATGTATCGACACGTATAACGGTTGCAGCTACAAAACGACGCACTATGTCTAGACAGTATTTTCTTTGTCACGAAAACACAGGTAGACACAGTTTATCAAAAAATTTTTTGCAACATATTTGTTATAAGTGGAAGTGTAATTGATACTTGCACTAAACAGATGGGACCAAATTGCGTTTACGTGGGTCATGATCTACGGCAGGGACTTATTCCTGGAAACAAAACTTCAGAAGCAATGAAACAATTTGTTAAACTGCATATTGACATGTATTCTAGAATCGAGTGCCACTATTGCAGAAAAGACTCCAAAAAATATATTTGGAGAATGACCCTAATATGGCTCGCTTATATAAATTGTACAAAGAAGAATTCTGTCTAGAAAGATATATAAATCCTGTTTCTTTGTATGTTTACGCATTTACCACCACCACTAGCACCACTAGCATTTTACAAACCGTAAAAGGATCAGTGCACTATATGCAATGTTTACAAGTGTGCTGAAGACAAAACCAGTTTACAAAGAGACTATGATGAACATAAAGCAAGAGAAAAAGAATCTTTGGAAATGAAGGCATACGCAAAAAAGAAAGCAGAGAAGGCGATGGCACGAAGCGTGCAATAACATGTGACTTGCAGGCAATATTGTCAGTGCCGTAGTTCTATCTACAATATTACTATTTTAGATAATTATCAAAATACAGGACTATGTTACGTGTGGGACGAAAGCAACGGAAAAAAAAGGCAGTACTGAAATTGGTTCAATTTTACATAACCCCTTCAGACCCAGCGTCCAATTCAATGGACATGTTTTATTATTGCATGAAATATGAGGTAGATTAATAAAAACGCTAGTGTAAACATTTGATTGTACCGACCACTTACCTAGAAACGTTGTGATAAACAAAACACCAAAGGATTTATTGTAGGTAGGATGAAATAATTAGTCAAGTGTTGACGTTCGCCGTGGATACGCGCAATGCGAGTAAGTCTTTAGTGTTATTTTATTTACTCCAAAACGATTTGATCGTTTGTTTACATATTTTTTATTCTGCATAGTGATCATATTAGCTAAGATATATATTTTAAAAAAATACTAAATATGCGGTTGTTTTCATAATTTTGAAGATAAAGTCGATTTCCATTTCAATGGACATGGGGTCACAATCGTTGTAAACCAAACGTATTTACAATAAAACTTTGTATTGAATTTGACATGTTATTTTTATTCCTTTTTAGGTTTTGATCTATCTAAAAGTCAAGATGTGGATAATTTATTCAATTTATTAGAAAACGGAACAATATCGGATCTCGAAGAAGAGAGTGACGATGAAATTGTACAGGCAATACCACAAAAAAATGTTCGTGTAGGTAGTAACATAACGCTACCAACCGAAAGAGAGATAGGTAATCACTCCGAAGAGGAGGACGATATAGTAGAGGAGGTAGAATCTAGACCCGGATCAAGTAGTAAGCCTAAAAATGAAATAATTTGGAGAAAACATTTACAGCTTGAACCACCACAATTCATTTGGTCAGCGCCACCACCATTTGAAATTGATTCACCTCGCGTTCCCATTGATTATTTTTCTAAATGTATATCAGAGTCTCTAATTGAAGATTTTACATTAAATAAAAATTTGTATGTGGTGAGAAATGAAGTCCGTAATTTCAAGCCATGTACTTCAACAGAAATGAAAATATTTTTCGGCCTTCATATCATAATAGGTAACCTAAAGTTTCCTCGTATTCGTTTCTATTGGGATTCCAGTTTAGATATGAAAATATTTTTAGAGAACATGGCCAGGGATAGATTTTTTCAGATGAGAAACAATTTGCATGTAATTGATAACAATTCTATTCCACAAAATAACACCGATCGTTTTATCAAAGTTCGGTCTTTATATAATTCAGTTAGAAAACGATGTCTAGAACTAAAATTAGAGCAAATATTGAGCGTTGATGAACAGATTGTACCTTTTCGAGGAAAACTTGAAGTCAAACAATATGTCAAAGGAAAACCACAGCCATGGGGTGTAAAGACATTTATGATTTGCGTTAAGAGTGGATTAGTTTATTTTATTATTTATCAAGGCGCAACTACAAATCTAGACAAAAATGACGTTTTGAAATATGGCACTTCTGCTGCTTATGTAAATGCCTTGTCAAAGAGAATAAATAGGTCTGGTCATTACCTCTTCTTTGATAATTATTTCTCCAATTACGTTTTGCTGAAGGATCTTCGCGAGAGGGAAATTTATGCAGGAGGAACGATCAGAATAAATCGTTTTGGAAAACCGCCACTCATAACTGACAAGGAAGGATCAAAAAAAGATAGGGGATATACTGATCAAGTTACGAATAATACTAAAGATGTGGTTGTTATCAAGTAGATTGACAACAAAGGTGTAGTACTTGCTTCAAATTTTTTGGAATAGGAAATCAAGATGAAGTTCGACGATGGAATAAAATATCTAAAAATTACGTAATTATACCGCGTCCTGAACTTGTGCAATTATATAACAATGGTATGGGCGGTGTAGATAAAACTGATCATCTGACTAGTTTGTATCGAATCTTCATTAGATCCCAAAAATGGACATTGCGTATGATATTTCACGCCATTGACCTAGCACTAACCAATAGCTGGCTGGAATACCAAGAAGATTGCAAAATCTGTAATATACCAAGTACAGACGTTTTGGATTTGTTGCACTTTCGGCAGCGCGTTGCAGAAGCTCTAATAAAAATTGGGCATCCAATTCCTAGCAGAAAAAAGAGGACGGCCCGCATCTGGTGGTAGCAGTCCAGTAAATTCACCAGTTACACCAAAACAACACCGTTTCAGGACTGAAATAAGACCAGCGAGCGAAATCCAGTATGACACTGTCGACCATTTGCCAGAATATGATCAATAGAAAGAAGCTACAAGATGTAAAAATCCAGGATGTAAAAGAAAGACGCATCTTTACTGTCTGAAATGTGAAATACATCTGTGTTTTACTGGTGAGCGAAATTGCTTTCGAAAATTTCATCAAAAATAAGAATAATCCAAACAGTGTAAAATGTTAAATAAAAAATAAACTATTATAATAATATTACATAGTTTTACTGACTTACTTCAAAATATTACTACAAAACATTTATTCATACATGTATTAATACAACACTCTAAACCTGATGTCCACTTGAGTGGACATCAAAATTTCCAAAAATCTGAAAACGATATATCGCATATTTTTACAAAAATCCCTTAATTACACTTCTAACTCACAGAAAAACCTTAACAATATTTTTATTGATGCTTTATATAAATTCAGGTCCGAAGGGGTTAAGTACTTGATTGATTTGCCTGAAAACGTAAAAACTGTTACATCCTTTTCAGACACCTGTAGTGGTCAAAATCGCAACAAATATGTCACATTGGCAGCATGTTCCTCATTTGAAAACAGTTAACCTTAAATACATGGAATCTGGCCATTCGTACCTGGAGGCTGACTCTATACATGCAAGTATAGAGCGTGCCCGAAAGCATAAAAAAATATTTACTGCAAGAAAGTACACTTTAGTTGTCAGTTCTGCGAGATCCAGACCCAAACCTTACGATGTGATCATGATGAAGTACCCCAATTTCAAAAGCTTTAGAAAGGTCATTGAATTGCAACATGGTAGAAAACAAAAATAATGAAACAGTAAAGTGGATGACCATCAAATGGATACAAGTAAGAAAGGAGTCTCCGGGATCGGTATTTACAAATTTAAACTAAGTGATACGACTTTCAAAGAAATTGACATTGCTGCATGTAAAAAAAAGAAGAAAAAGGGATCAAGTATTTTTAGTTTATACAAGCCGTTAAAAAAAGCATACAATTCCCAGATGCCAATTTCAAAGGCGAAAAAGAAGGATTTGACGACGCTGTTGAAGGATTGAGTGATCCCAAAAGACTACGTTGATTATTACACTAACATTCCTTCTATTGACGAAGAAAATATAATTAAAGATTGTTCAGGCTCAGAGTCCGATGATTGACCTTAGAAATGTACAGTTTTAATACTTAAATAATAATACTATAGTATTATGTATACTTAAATGTTTGATTTGTTTGGTTATAAAGAAACTTTTATACGTAATTTTTTTTTTAATACATCGGTACTAAATTCTTTATTATACCCTAAATTAATATACAAAACACGAAAGTGTTAAGTGAACAATATTATATAAAGTTTATGTACAAATGTACTAAGTGATACCCTTTTTTGCTATTTTGGTATTTTTATAGAATATTTTAGATAATTGATGTTTGAATTTATGATAATTAAGTATATAGATAAATACCCTAACTAATTATAGGCAGTATATACATAGTTTCAATGACCAGTTTTAAGTTATAGTATCTAGAAGTTTTGAATCATTAAAAACAGTCCTCCTGAAAAATTGGCTGGTCCGTAATTACCATGTTTGTCTTCTAGACCAGCGGTCGGCAACGCGCGGCCCGCGGGCCGCATGCGGCCCGCGGACGTTCTACTTGCGACCCGTGAATGTTATGTAAATAAATCCTAATAATATCAAAATAGATGTAAACGAACCACAAACATATAGCGTATCGTATAGCTATAGTCAATATTGTATAACGCGCTTCGCTCTGCCCGCGGATGAAATGTGCATATATCAGAGATTAGTTTTTTTTTACCTTGAAGCCTGACATTTAGCGTATTTAACATAACTGTAACATTAAAAGTATTATGTTGTAGCAAACATTATAAGTGTAAAATAAATAGGAATCTCAGACTATCTGTCCGCCGCGCGCGAACCCCGCTCAACCGTATAGTAGTGTGGAACCCGCTTCGCTTGGCTCGCGAATGAACAATAATTAATGAACGACGCGCGGGAGGGGCGCGGGCGGAACAAACCAGTGCTTCCAGATTCACTGTAATTACAGTAGATTTACTGTATTTTAGACTTTTCTACTGTATACTGTAATGATAAAATACAGTGTATGGAATATACTGTATTTAATTTTCATATAGCTTTATCAATTCTAATACGTAAAACAGAACGCAGCTAATCTACACTACCACAGACTAATATGATGCTAATACACTACCTTGCTACAAATTTATTTATCTATGATCTACACCCACTGAACCACAAACTAATAAGAGTGCTAGCGCCATTATCCATAGACAATGTACAGTAAGTTTGTAACAAAGTTGCGGGGAATTCCCTGGCAAATCGGAACTAACGTGGAGCACTCTGGGACGCAACTAGCATAAGTAGGTTCTTGTTACTTGTTTTAACTGTCTTACAAAGGAACATTGTATTTTTCGTCTAATTCATTACACTTAAAGTAGTTTTGCCATTGTACATACATTTTAATTGAGATTTAAACTTTTTAATTGTTTTGGGTGATGTGAAATAAAATTTAAACTAAAAACTTATTCGCTATAATTTTTTCACTGTATTTATTACTGTAAAAATGAGCTCAAGCAGTGAGGAAAGTGATGTGCGTAGCGATGCTGGTCCGTCAAGAGCTAAAAAGAAATATCGGCAACAATTCCGTGATGAATGGCTTCAATTACAAGACTACCGTAAGTGGTTAAAGCGTGATAAAAAGTCGATTTATAAATGCATTTGCACTGTTTGCGATTCTTCTTTGATTGCCGATCTGGGTGCTATTAAAAGACACAGTGAAGGTGCTAAGCATAAACTTCGTCTTCCTGCCCTATCGCATGTGCGTACCATTGATAATATTTTTAAAAGTCAGCAACGCGCAAGTGATGATGATCAGCGGAAAATTACAGAATTAAAATTATCGGCTTTTATGGCAGAACATAAAATATCGCACATAGTGATGGATCATCTCGTTGATTTACTTCCAAAAGCTTTTCCAGATTCTAAAATCGCAAGTAATATCAAACTTAAACACACTAAATTACAAGCAATAATAAATAACGTTATCGGGGCTTCTGAAGGAGAATGTTTAGTCGAAGATTTAAAACGCGAAAAGTTCTCTATAATGGTAGACGAAAGTACCGATGTTGCCAGTGTGAAAACAATGTGTGTTGTAGTCAAATATTATGATCCTAATTTAGGACGTATCGTCAGTCGATTCTGGGACCTTATTCAAATATTTGATGACAAAAAAAGCTGGAACGTCTGGTGATTACTCAGCCACGGCTGAAAAATTATTTAATTCAATAATAAAATCATTTCGAGACAAAAAATATACCCTTAGAAAATACTATCGGGTTTGGTTCTGATGGATGTAATATGATGATGGGCTGCCATAATTCAGTGTCCTCACGATTTAGACAACTATGTCCAGGTATTACAGTGATCAAATGCCTTTGCCATTCTTTACATTTGTGCGCTTCCGACGCTTGCAAAGAATTGCCCCACGATGCAGAAAAACTGACTCGAATGATATACAATTACTTCAAAAATAGTAGCAAACGTCAAGCAGAGTTAAAGGAATTTCAAGTATTTACAGACACTAACATACACAAATTGCTACGTCCAGCCCAAACGCGTTGGTTGTCTCTTTCCAGTGTTGTGAACAGAATTATGGAGCAATGGGACGCTTTGCGATTGTACTTTGACGATAAATGGCTGGAAGACCAAGATTGCCAAGCCATTCATATTCTTTTGAATGATCACATCATCAAGGCATATTTTTATTTTTTATGTTGGATGTTGCCAAAGTTTACCCGCGTCAATGTATATTTTCAAAGCGAAGATCCGGTTATTATAGAAGCCCATAACAAAATGAAAGAGCTATACAGAGAACTCTTATCCTTATACATAACTCCGAATCATTTAAAGAACACCCCACTCGACGCAATTGACCCTACTGATAGTCAACATTACATAAATCTGAAAAATATATACCTGGGATTGGGTGTTGCTAATCAAGTTGCTGTCCCAGAGCTACATGTAAGTACCGAAGAAGTTACAGTGATGAAACAGAAATGCCTGAATTTTATCGTTAAAGCATGCGTGGGTATTCGGAAAAGATACAGTTTGAATGACCCAGTTTTGAGCTCAATCGCAAAGTTGGATCCCGATTCTTGCTTATCTGATAATAGACTACAGTCTTTGTCTTCGCTGTTCCCAGTGCTGCCAAGGCTTAAACCCCAAACTTTAAATGATCAACAGACGTTAGATGATGAATGGAGAAATTTAATGTTGACTGCGGATGAACAACATTTGAATACAAATCAACCAGCAGACGTGTTTTGGCATCAGGTAAAATTTTATCACTTAAGAACTTTACGTATAATATTGCACATATGTTTACATTTTACAGATTTGTTTTTTTTTTCAGTTGTCTCAAATCAAAGATAGCAACGGAGATAATAAATATCATTTTATGCCTCGTTTTATGCTCCAAGT